TGCGCAACAGAAGCCCCACCCCGAAAATAAGCCCCAGTGACAGGCGTGGCCACGCAGCGCGTCTGCACAGCCCATGCATGTTGGCGCGGCGCGGGAAAGACTACGAGCAGCCCTTCTCATCCGCCCCGTGACAGCTCTGTGGCTCCACGGGAGAGATTGGGGCCGATGGTTCTAAAGGAAACAGAGTCACAAGAAATTCAGGATGGAATTTGGGGTTTGGAGAATTATGATATGTTCCAGAAGAAGACGACTTAACTCTGTTTGAATAATGTAGTTGTTGTACCGTACTTAAAAAAATAACACATCCCATGAAACAGGCCTAGGGTGTCTTCTTGAGAAAAAATAAATATAAGACCCTGTCTTATTTTCAGGGAAACATGGTACGTGACTCACATTACATTTCTGTTGCATAGCTGTGCTTTAACAGCAGACTTTACTGAAGTGTTTGTTATTTAACTACATCACCTTGAGCCTGTCTTTTCACATGTCACCATCAGCATAGTCTCTTCTTTAAGATGTAGATACAATAACTTACCTCATAGAGTTTTTGTGAAAATTGGAAATAACATGGACAAAATTTCTGGCACATACTATAATCTCCCATCTGCCATTCCAGTATCCCAAAATCTGAGAACCAAAGCTTTCTTTCTTCTTTTTTTTCTTTTTGGATGTTTGGATATTTTCTTTTTTTTTTTAATTACTTAAAATTTCTTTCTTTTATATTTATTTTAATTTTCTTTTTACACAGGACATATAGTCAAATGGATATTTTTTTATTTTTCTGAGACAGAGTCTTTTTTTTTTTTTTTTGAGACAGAGTCTCACTTTGTTGTCCAGGCTAGAGTGAGTGCCTGGCGTCAGCCTGCTCACAGCAACCTCAAACTCCTGGGATCAAGCCATCTCCCGCCTCAGCCTCCAGTAGCTGGACTACAGACATGCGCCACCATGCCGGCTAATTTTTTCTATATATATTAGTTGGCCAATTAATTTCTTTCTATTTATAGTAGAGATGGGTCTCGCTCTTGCTCAGGCTGGTTTCGAACTCCTGACCTTGAGCAATTCGCCCGCCTCGGCCTCCCAGAGTGCTAGGATTACAGGCGTGAGCCACCGCCCAGCCAATGTGTGGATATTTTAAACAAAACCCCACCTGAAGTGCAAAGAGGCTGTTCCCAGCCTCCATTTGCTGCACTGAGGGAGACGAGTCCTGCACCTGCTGCGCTGTGTTAACGTGCCCATTTCACGCGCCGAGGGCGGGACGCGCTAGGGGACCAGCGCTAGGCGGACGCGCTAGGCGGGACGCGGTAGGCGGACGCGCTAGGGACGCGCTAGCGGGACGCGCTAGGGACGCGCAGGCGGACGCGTAGGCGGACGCGTAGCGGACGCGCTAGGCGGGACGCGCTAGGCGACGCGCTAGGCGGGACGCGCTAGGCGGACGCGCTAGGCGGACGCGCAGCCGTGCGCCTCGCTCAGATCTGAACAAGTCTCAAGTGTGAAACACATCTTGCTCCAAGAGTTCTGGAGAAAGCTTTGGGACTTGCAGTTGGGAGTATCTGGGGGTAGCTATCACTATCATTGTCATTAGCAGAAGTACCACAAAACAACTGGCAAAATGAGGAATTAAGGAAGGGAAATTATTGAAATTTTCACAGTGAAGCTAGCAGCACTAGCCAAGAAACCCAAGATTTATCCTAGAATCCTCCCTGCCTCTCAGCCTGCAAATCAGATCAACTCCTGTCTTCCTTTCCTTTAATTTTTGTTGCCCAGGCTAGAGTGAGTGCCGTGGCATCAGTCTCGCTCACAGCAACCTCAAACTCCTGGGCTCAAGCAATCCTCCTGCCTCAGCCTCCAGTAGCTGGGACTACAGGCATGTGCCACCAATGCCCGGCTAATTGTCCTATATATATTATTTTCTATATATATAGTTGGCAATTAATTTCTTTATATTTATAGTAGAGACGGAGTCTCGTTCTTGCTCAGGCTGGTTTCAAACTGCTGCCCTCGAGACGATCCACTCTCTCGGCTCCCAGAGTGCTAGGATTACAGGCGTGAGCCACTGCGCCCGGCTTTCCTTTCCTTTCTCTCTGCGCCTTCCTTCACTCAGGGCCTTGCTCTTTCTTGTGTGCAATATAACCCAGTGCCCTCAGCTCCTCTCCTTGTCTTCAGTATGGATGTCCCTTAGACCACAGCATACACCAAAATTAAGCACCAAATTTGGTTCAGTATTAAATTATAAAGCCATTAAAAATCAAACTAAAATAACATGGAATATAGCCAATGCTACAAAGCAGATGGATTTCTAACTGTGGAACAGCAGGAGAAATTACAACATGAGCGCACACATTCAACCACATGGAAATGAAAACAACTCTCATACAACCAAATAGAAAAATCAGAGATAAGTAAAATGAAAAGCTGGTGCGGTGGCTCATGCCTGTAATCCTAAGACTCTGGGAGGCTTAGGTGGGAGGATCACTTGAGGTCAGGAGTTTGAGACCAGCCTGAGCAAGAGCGAGTCATGTCTCTACTAAAAACAGAAAAAATTTGCCAGGCATGGTGGCGTGCTGTAGTCCCAGCTACTTGGGAGGCTGAGGCAGGAGGATCTCTTGCGCCCAGGAGTGTGACCTAGGCTGACACCACAGTACTCTAGCCCAGGTGACACAGCAAGACTCTGTCTCAAAAAAAAAAAAAAAAAAAAATTGGAAAAGAAAAACAAACAAATAAGAAAAAAACAAAGACAAAGCTTTAGGAAAGAATGGGGAAATGTTTGAAGTAAAATGTGATGTCAAATGGTTAATGTCTTTTCTATATGAAAGTTTGCTATAGAAGTTGAAAAGAAGAAACAAAGGTCACTAGTAGAAGAAAAGATTATCAGAGAAAATCCACAGGAGAAGAGTAAAACGAAAACAAACAAATGCAGCAATGCACGGGACTGTGCGGTCTCCCGTGTGTAGACAGAGTGGATGTCCAGCGTGTCCACAGGTGCTCAGAGTGACACTGGCAGGACTCACGGAGACGTCAGCAAGGTGTTCCACCTGAGACTCAGCCATCTCCGACACATGGGAGTGACAAAGTTCCTACAAGTGCTGTGGGGATTTGAAGAGATAACGAACTCACAGGCATTAGCATAGAGCCTGCACATAGTAAGTTCTCAATAAATGCTGACTGTTCTTCATTCATTTTACCAAATTAAGAGAAAAGCTTTAATGACAATATCCAATACTAGTGAGTAAGAAAAGGAAACTGACATTACCCCCCATTGCTGTTGATGGTGCTGATTTGATAATTCTCCTTTTCAAGTTGTTCTCACCACTATGATTTAGTCCAGCAATGATACAAAGCAAATGAGCAGAGGGAAAAAGGTTACAAAGTCCCTGGGGCAAAGTCCAGAGGAAGCCAGGTGCAAGTTTCAGGAGTTTGTACCCGTGGAGTCACACAGGCTGTGCTTCATTCTCCCACAAACAAATTGTGGCCAAGACACACACAATTTGTGAGGTTTCACAGCTGAAAAAGACTCAGTGCCAGGCTTCTTATGGAAAGCGAGGTGATTTGAAAATTTTCTGAAAAGCAATTCGGAAGCATCTAGAGGCCTGAAAAGCAGTCCTCTTTGACATGGTGATCCCACTTCTGTAACTTGACACAACAGAAAAAAAGCAAAGCCAGCTACTTATAGAAAGATGATATTAATAAGAAATTAGAATCTAAATGGAAAACAGGACACAAGAGACTACTAATGTAGAACATTTCCACTACAGCAAAATGTGGAAAAAGAAAAAATATGTGAATTTTATGAAAATAAGCATGATCCATTTCATGAAATAAACAAGTATAATTGCATAACTACTTTTTTCTTTTCTTTTTTCTAAATTTTTATGTGACGTGGCTAAGTTTCTTGTGTAACAGTGTTCTAATGAGAGACGTTCTCCCTCTCAGGTAGACAGGGACACGTGCAACTTTGTTTGCACTCGGCTGCCATCTGGCTGGGTCTCGTCACACACCCTCAGACACGGACGTCACCAAAGTCGGATGCCCAGTTGGTGCACTTTCTCCTGGCTCCCCCCTGCAACCCTGGACCCTAGACAGTGTCTCTCCAAGCAGAAATCAGTGAATGCTACTTAAAGAAACATATAAAAGATATATAACTTTGCCAACCAAAGAGAATCTATTTATAAAGGAAAGGAGTAGCCAAAAGAACAGTTATAAAAAGATGATTAAAAAATTTTTAAAGGATGCAAGTGATACAAATTTGAACATTATCATGATTAGTGTCAAGATCAGAGGCCAGCATACACCTTCTCTGAGGGGTGACAACAGGTGGGGCAGAGGGTGTCAAACTCTGGATACAGGCACAGGCTGGGCTTCAGCCCCTGCCCTGCTGCCACATCTTTGCTGGGTGACCTTGGTTGAGTCACCAAACCTCTCTCTCGTCTCAGTTTGCTTATCTGTAACCTGGGGGTAATAACAGCACCCATTTTATAGGATTGCTGGGAGGAACCTGTACTTAGAAGAGTGTCTGACAGCTAGTGAGGGCTTTTAATGTTGATTCTTCTCTTCAAGGACTCACATTAGAGACCTGACTTCTATGCATAGGCCTGGGCCTGTGGAAGGGGAGAGGCTATAACATAATATCCTAAAGAGGTTACTCTCCTTACAATCATCTGGACCCTATGCAGAACACCTACTTTTCTTTCTTTCATTTTTTTTTTTTTGAGACAAAGTCTCACTTTGTTGCCCAGGCTAGAGTGAGTGCCGTGGCGTCAGCCTAGCTCACAGCAACCTCAAACTCCTGGGCTCAAGCGATCCTCCTGCCTCAGCCTCCTGAGTAGCTGGGACTACAGGCATGCGCCACCATGCCTGGCTAATTTTTTCTATATATATTAGTTGGCCAATTAATTTCTTTCTATTTATAGTAGAGACAGGGTCTCACTCTCGCTCAGCCTGGTTTTGAACTCCTGACCTCGAGCAATCCACTCGCCTTGGCCTCCCAGAGTGCTAGGATTACAGGTGTGAGCTACCGCGCCTGGCCTCTGCCTGCACCTTGATGTTGGACTTCCAGCCTCCAGAGCTGTGAGCAACACCTTTCTGTGGTTTATCAGCCACCTGCTGTATGGTGTCCTGCCATGGCAGCCCCAGTGGACTGAGACACACGCCTGGGTTCTCCATCACTCACCAGGGCCCTGGCGTCTTCTCAATGGCTCCGCCATCCAGGGCGCCTGCCCCTTCTCCAATAAGGTAATCACATTTGGCCTCCGACAGGAAAAACCTGCACGAGGGACAAACGTGAATTGACCACAATGTGGACACCATTGAATTCAGAGCCACACCTCGTGTCAACAGGTGTGAAGGTTTATTAGCAGGAAGGGAGCACATAGGGTGTGAAGGCAGCTGGAGACAGGGGAGTGTGATACTGTGATTTATTAATACGGTATTTCCCCAAAAATAAGACAGGGTCTTATATTTATTTTTCCTCAAGAAGACACCCTAGGACTTGTTTTCAGGGGATGTGTTATTTTTTTTTAAGTACAGTACAACAATATACATTTATTCAAATATAGTCAAGTCGTCTTTTCCTGGAACATCATCATCACTCTCCAAACCTTGAATTTCATCATGAATTTCTTGTGACTCTGTTTCCTTTAGAACCACTGTCCCCAATCTCTCACGTGGAGCCACAGAGCTCTCACGGGGCAGATGAGAAGGGCTTCTTGTCTTCTTTCCGGCTCTGTGAGGAAATGCATGGGTTGTGCAGAGGCGCTGCGTGGACACGCCCGTCACTAGGGCTTATTTTCGGGGTGGGGCTTCTATTGCACAAATGCTTAGAAATCCTGCTAGGGCTTATTTTATGGGTAGGTCTTATTTTCGGGGAAACATGGTAAATACATGTGGTCTTCATCCCTGTCTCCTGGCACACAGCTCCCAAAACCCTTCCAGTTTCCAAACGGATAAATCTTTTTGTATGCTAATGAGATGACTGGTGGCTGGGGGCTCCTGGACAGCCTCTGGACAGGGGGTGGTTGCCAGGGGAACCACCCCTGTGGCTGGAAGGTTGGTACTTTCAGCTCTACCTCCTGAGTTCTGGACAGGGGCTGGAGGTTGAGCTGATCACCAATGGACAGTGATTTAAACAACCTTGCCTACGTGATGAAGCCCCCATAAAAGCCCAGAAGGACTGCCCTGGGAGACTTTCTGGATTGCCGCACAAGTGGAGCGCAGAGCATGCAGCCACACAGCAAGGCCATTTGGGCCCTTCATCCCTCCCCCATACCTGCCCTCTGCACCCTCCCAGCTGCTGCTCATCTTCTGTGATATCCTTTATACTAAACTGGCAAATATAAGTAAAGCGCTTTCCTGAGTTCTGTGACTTGCTCTAGCAAATGACTGTATCAGAGGACAACAGAAGTCTGAGTTTCAGCTTTGTGGGGACTTTCCTCCAAGTCCTAAAACCCCCAAATCCTTCCCTCTGTCCCCGTAGCCCCAGGGATGGTGGCAGTGTCCTGCAGTTACTATCTCTGCACTACATCTGTGAACTAAAATAAAATCTTAAGCACCCTAAGCCAACAGAAGGGATGCCCTCTTGGCCAAGGGGACCCCAGAAAAACCTTAAAGCTGAGTTGCTAGACCTGAGGTCAGACACGCCTCATCATGCTCCCTCCCTTTTGGAATTACCTGAGAATAAGATACTAAATCATTAACAGGATCTAAGGCCATGCAAGACAAAGGTTAAACCACACCTGCCGGCCACAAAATTACTTAACAGATCACTTGAGTTTTGGTAAATGTCTGGTGGCTTGTCTCTGGTTAAACATCTTTAACTTAAAATGCTGGGAGCCAGCCAGGCATGGTGGCTCACGCCTGTAATCCTAGCACTCTGGGAGGCTGAGGCAGGAGGATCGCTTGAGATCAGTAGTTCAAGACCAGTCTGAGCAAGAGTGAGACCCCGTCTCTACTAAATATAAAAAAGAAATTAGCTGGACAACTAAAAATGTATGTAGAAAAAAAATTAGCCAGGCATGGTGGTGCATGCCTGTAGTCCCAACTACTAGGGAGGCTGAGGCAGAAGGATTGCTTAAGACCAGGAGTTTGAGGTTGCTGTGAGCTAGGATGATGCCACAGCACTTTAGCCTGAGCAACAGAGTGAGACTCCGTCTCAAAAAAAAAAAAAAAAAAAAACCGCTGGGAGCTGACAAAGCTTCATTTCTTTAACCAATTACAAATCAATGAATCTTTAAATCCACCTATAACCTGTAAGCCTTTTGGGCCAACCAATATACGCCTTCCACGTACTGACTTATTATCTTATGTATAATTCTTGTCTCCAAGAATGTATAAAACCAGACTGTAACCAGGCTGCTGCGGGCGCATTTCCTCAGAACCTCTTGAAAACATGTGCTCTTGGCCGTTGGTCACATACACTTGGCTCAGAATATAAATCTCTTAAAATTATTTTACAGAGTTTGGGTTTGTTTCCACTAATACATCAATATCCACTGTTTGTTTTTAACAGCACCTGGTAAATTGATGTATACATTTTTTTTTTAAACAACTAGGCTGTCCTCGAGAGGTTACATACGAGTTTGCATATCACCCAGCAGTTCCACTGCTTGGCATATAATATACCTAAGAGAAATGAAAACTTACATCCACTCAAAACATTGTATATGAATGTTCTTAGCAACATAGCTAACAGCCAGAGAGTGAAAATAACTCAAATTCCCTTCAATTAATTAATGAAGGGATAAACAAAATGTGGTGGTCTATTCATACAATGAAAAGGAATGAAGTACTGGCACTTGTTACAAAATGATGAACCTCAAAAACATATTAAATGGCCACATATTAAAGGCCACATATTAAATATTTATGAGTGCATTTGTATGAAGGCCCAGAATACGCAAATCCATAGAGAAAGAAAGTGGACTAGTGGTTGCCCAATTTGGGGGGGGGTGAGTAGGTGTAGGAAATGAAGACTGATTTCTAATCGGAACTAGGTTTCTTTTGGGGGCGATAAAAATGTTTTAAAATGGATTGCGGTGATGGATGCATAACTGTGAATACACTAAAAACTATGGAATTGTATATTAAATGGGTGAATTGTATAGTATGTGAATTATATCTCAATAAGTCTGTTAAAAATACTTTAAAAAGCAAAACAAAACAAAACTGGAGTTGACTTGTTTTCCTGACTAGACCCTGACGTCCATGTCCATCAGCAGGATGATTCTGGATTACAGGGTAAGGAGAGCCTTACCAATTGAGGCCAGGTTCTGGTAGTTCTCCATCATGACATCTTCATACAAGTCTTTCTGAGTGGGGCTCAGGCATTCCCACTCCTCCTTGGAGAAGTAGATGGCCACGTCCCCGAATGTCACTGGTGCCTGAAATGGAAATCACATGTCCATTCTTCACCATGGGCTCCTGCTTCCACACAGCTGGAGAAACCAGTGGACGCAGCCCAAACACGGGAGACATACGGTGCCAGGAGTTATTCAGGAGGCATTCTGGGTTCCGGGGCCCAAAGGAGGAGGTATGTTAAATATAATAAGCACAATACAATGCAATAGGATATAGCTGTTACTAAAGATCACGTTGCATAAAAAACATAACAACTTGATACTAATGGGCATTTTACAAAGCCAAGGTATTTGTGTAAGCACCCAACCACACTGGCTCTCTTAGTGTTCACACTCACCAGTGCCAGAGGCACTGCCAGTGGGATCACAGTATGTCACAGATGAGAGTGAGGTCATTACTGAAGGTGTTACAGCTAGTAAACCCCACCTCCCAACCACGTGCTGTCTCTGAAGAGCATGTGAATGTGACACATGGCAAAAGGTTCTTTGAGGGTGTAATCAAGGTTACTTACCAGTTAATTTTAATATAGGGAGACCTTAAAATAGGTAGATTAGCCTGGCCTTGACCTGGCTGGCTTGGTTATTTATTATTGTTGGATGGAGATAGAAAAAGAGGGTGATGTGGAAGGCATGAGAAGGAACAGAATCTGGCCAATCCCCAGCGACCCTGGAAGAGGACCTCAGCCCCAAATGAGAAAGCAGCCAGCTGACACCTGGATTTCGGCCCACAGCGGATGCCGCCAAACCTCGCTGTGCCTGGAATCCACCCACGAAGCAGCACGATAATAAACATGGATGGTTTTGAGCTGTCAGGTTTGTGGTTAACTTTTTTTGTTTGTTTGTTTTTTATTCTTTTTGCTTCCATGTCTTTAGAATGTGGTTAATTTTTTACAGCAGCAAGATGGAGCTAACGCACGTAACTCTGAAGGCGAATGAGTGTGTTACGGGAAACTGTGCTGGAGATGCCTCTGCAGAAACCCCCGACCGTCTGCAGCCGCGGAGCATGCTGACCACGGGAGGCTGGCGCATCGCCTCACTGTCTGGCAGCAACACACTCGATAAATAAAAGCTGTGCGTGCCCCTTGGCCTTGGGACCTAGCTAGAGAGATTTCCTGCATGTAAACAAAGTGTCACGATGAGATTAACTAACTCTGAAGTACACATTGAATTCCTTCTGCCTCAGCAGGTCCCCACCGGCCATTCATCTCTGCCCTGAGCAATCACAGTGGCTCTCATCTTCCCTCGGGGGAGGGTATTTCTCCCAGCACTGGCAGAGCCCCTGGAGATGCTGGACAGACAGGTGAGTGGTCATGTGTGCACTGAGAGGAACAGACAGAGGGCCATGGACCCCTCTCAGGCTCCCATTCTCCACGGTGATGGGAGGAAACCAGGGACCAGGTGCTGGATGGGTCTCTGGCAGGCTGGAAGTCTCCATGGCGGGAGGCAAGTGGCCCACACCTTACAGGACAAGATGGACTATTCCTGAAAAAAGCGGCATCATCACTTACCTTGCGTTTGGATTTCCCTCGTGCAGCAGGCATTTTTTCCTTCCTCTTTGGGGTGCACATTCCGAGAGAGACAGAGTACTGGGAAGGCAGAGCTGGGGAGAAGTGAGGTCACGGGGCTGACTGGGCCTCTTCAGTGGTCCCAGAGTGCACAGGCCCTGGACACACACACACACACACACACAGAAGTCAGAACATTTGGACCACTCTTGCCACCTCTCAGGGTGGGGGAATGGCACCACCAACACTGCTCCTAAGATCATAGCAGGCTCTCAGTCGGGGGGCAAAAGAGGACTGCGCAGACACCTGATCATCCATTTAAAAAATATGTATATATATATATATATATTTTAGAGACAGAGTGCCCTGTCACTCAGCTAGAGTGCAATAGCATGATCACAGCTTACCATAACCTCAAACTCCTATGCTTCAGCAATCCTCCTACCTCAGCTTCCTGAGTAGCTAGAACTACTGGTGCATACTGCCAGGCATGGCTGACTTAAAAATTTTTTTGTGGAGACTGGGTCTTGCAATGTTGCTATCCTCCCACCTCGGACTCCCAAAGTGCTAGGATTACAGGTGTGAGCCACTGTGCCCCGCCCTTGTCATCCATTTGACAAGTATTTATTATTTATTGAGTGCTTATGAGGTGTTGGGTGCAGTCCCAGGTGCTAGGGAGAGAGCAGCGAAATTAGGGCATAAAAGTGCCAACTTCCATGCACCTTACATCCCAGTAGGGAAAACGAGTCCATATAAAACACAATGACAGCCAAGGTCATTGCTATGAAGAAACAAAAGGCCAGGGCAGGGATAGAGAGTGACAGGTGGTCAGAGACCTCTCTGAGGAGGCAACATTGAGCTGAGGTCTGAATATAGCAAGTGTGAGCCACATGGGTGTCAGGAGGAGAGCATTCTGGGCAGAAGCAGGCTTGCAGTGGAGGGAAGCAAGGGGTAGGCATGCTGAAGCAGAGTGAATGCTGCAGGGAGGAGCGGGCTGAGGGCAGGAGGGGCTGGATCATGAAGCAGGTGGTAAGCAGCTTGGATCTGATCCCAAGCGTGACATCACGGGGACAGAAGGGGGAACTAAGCAGGGGAGTGACATCATTTGGCTTAACAGTCAACAGAATGTTTTTGTGTGTCTTTGTAGCAAATAAATTGTGCATGTTGGGGTAAAAGCAAGGGCCGAGGAGGGAACTCATTAGATAGCTGTGCAGAAATCTAGGGGGAAATGCCAGCAGGGTGGATGAGGGTGGGCAGAGTGGAAGGGGTCAGATGTAGTCAGATTTCACCTCCTCAAGGTGGCCCCTCTAACCACCCGTCCAAAAGCACCTCCACCCTCAGTCTACACCTGTCCTGTCCAAGGCACATACCACTAGCCACATATGACAACTGAGCTCTGGAAATAAGATTAGAGCAACTGAGAAACTCAATTGAATTTAATTTCAAGCAACTTACTATTAAAACAATAATAAAAGTTAAAATTATTAAATTAAAAATAATTTATTAAGACTTTAAAATGAAAAAACTGACAATTCAGTTACTTTAAAACTTTTAAGTATGTTTGGAACAACTAGGGTATGTGACTCTACTTTTCCAATGGTGAATTTTACTAATTTAAGTACAGATCAGGTATCTCTGATGAAAATTAAGGGTCCAGCTTGAGATGGGCTGTGTGTATAAAACCTTTATGGGATTCTGAAGACTTAGTATGAAAAAAGAATGTAAAATATCTGATTGTTTATATTGATTACATATTGAAATGGTAACATTTTAGATATGAGTTAAATAAAATGTTATTAAAATTAACTTAATGATTACTTTGGTTTTTTTTCCATTTTCTATGTGTCTACTGGAAAATTTTAAATTATATATTTTGCATTATGTTTCTGTGGGACAGTGCCACTCCACACTGTGGAGTCTGTATTGCTTCATTTTCTTCATAGTACCTGTTGCTTCCTGAGAATAGCTTGCTTATGCATGTCTTTACATGGTTAGTACACACATACACACACACGCACGCACATGCACACGCACACGATTTGGGCTTGAGGAAAACAGGGACCTTGGCTGTTTTGTTCACTGCTCTACTCCCAGGGCTGAGAACCCACCTGACACAGAGCCAGTGCTCAGAACCACAGCCGCAACACGCTTCCTTGTGGGCTGAAATCAAGGCGGCATTCAGCCCCCCTAGCCTGAAACCCGCCGCAGGGAGACAGGTCTCCTGGCAGCCATCCACAGCCCTCTAAGCTTGCCATTTGGAGAAGAGCAGGAATGGGGACAGACTTTTTATTTCCCTTATTGTGGAAAGCTGAGAAGCTTGAGAAGAGTAAAAAAAACAGTAAAATGAACTTCTAATTACTCAGAAAAATGTTAATATTTTTTAAATGGAGTTGGTTGAAAGCTGTAGCCTGATGACAGTTCACCCCTAAAACCTTCAGCTCATGCCTTGGTCATCATCACCATGCCCTGGTCTGACCACAGTGAACACATCCCCCAAAGCTCTTTTTGTGACTTTCCTATGAAAAAGGTACATCAGGATGCAGTGGAAATATGGGTGTTTCCCTCTACAGATGTTTGCTTTTTTTCCTCCCCTGGGAATGGAGGAAGAACAAAACTAAGGCCATGCTTAAGTTCAGAGTTAGATAAAGGGTATGTTTTGATGTAAAATGTGAACCATAAGATGGCCTTGTACTGTTTAAGGGAGCCCAGCCAGAAGAATGCTTGCTTTATTATGTTTCTTTCTTTGTAGGACAGTAAAAGGGAATACTAAGATTACTATTTTAGAGACAGGATCTTGCTCTGTTGCCCAGGCTGGGTGCAGTGGTGCCATCATAGCTCACTGCAGCCTCCAACTTCTGGACTCAGTGATTCTTCTGCCTCAGCTTCCAGAGTGGCTAGAACTACAGGTGTACCACCATGATCGGCTAATTTTTTAAAATTTTTTGTAGAGACAGAGTCTTGCTATGTTGCCAAGGCTGGTCTTGAACTCCTGGCCTCAAGTGGTCTTCCCGCCTCAGCCTCCCACAGCGCTGGGATTACAGGTGTGAGCCACTGCGCCTGGCCCCAACCTAAGAATAATTATTAACAAGATTAATATTGAATGCTTACATGTCCCAGGCAACACTCTGAGGCTTATTTAATTCTCGCAAGTGCTATTATTAACGCCATTTTCCAGATGAGGATGTGGAAGCACAGACTGGTAAGAATCACTCACCCAAGGTCACAAGGCAGCAAAATGGCAGAGCCAGGGTTCAAAGTGGGGGCATTTGCCCCCAGATGCCTGGCTCTTAATCATGCAGTACCCGCCTTCCCCCTGCCTGGGTCGGAGGACACAAGTTGAGAAGCGTCAACCCAGCAGGCTCGAGACTGCTGTCCTGAGAGGCTGGCGCTCCCCTACCCTGATATCAAACTTTCCCTGAATGGTAAGAATGGCTCCCTGAGAGTCACTGTGTGCTTGTAGGGGGTGAGGGCATGCGGGGAGAGCCCAGTTGCCAGATTTTATGCCTAATGCTGAAAGGCCTGCTTTCCTTCTGGAAGTCTGGAACTTTGGCACCTGCCAGGCAGAGGCTGTCGACCTGTGGCCAGCTCACAGTAACGAGCCTGGACACCGAGTCTCCAGCTGGTGTGCCTGGCGGACAACACTGCACACGCGTTAACTCATTACTGGGGGGGGGAGATTAGCGTGTCCCAGGGGATTAGTGTATTCCATGGGATTCCACTTGGGTGAGGACTCCTGGGAGCCTGCTGGCTTTCCCAGGACTCTGTCCTACAAACCTTTTCTCTTTGCCTATACTGCTTTGTGTCCCTCTGCTGTAAAAAATCGCAGCTAAGTATGACTGCAGGCTGCGACCTGGGAGGCGGCTGTATCAGCCTCACACAGCCGGACCAATGAGCAGCCGGTTCTGCCACAGACGGGGCTGAGGCGGCGCGGAGCAGCTGGAGGCGGGGCTCCCCGCCACTCCTGAGCCACACCCACCTCCTCTGGTACTCTCACTGGGCGGGAGGGTGGAGCCCCCAGCCCTTGAGCCACCATCCATGAGGGCCCTTAAATTACACTGCGCCACGCAGGCCGCGCCACACTGAGTGGGTGCCTGGGTTGGCCTGCCTGCGGCTGGGGTGGGGGACCAAGGAAAGGGAGGAATTAGTGCCTGCGGTGGACCAGAGGCATGCCCCCCAAAAGATAGCCACATCCTGATCGAGAACCCATGAAGGTAGCTCTTATACAGCAAAAGACTTTGCCAATGTGATTAAGTTAAGGATCTTGGCGGTCAACAATTAGTTTTTCCTCTAATCTCACAACCACAACCGCCATCGACACAACAGACCTCCGTGAACACATAAATGTGGGGATGTCACCCTACGCATCTACCCACCAAGACAACCCGCAATTCTGCAGTGGAGGCCGGCTGGGGGTCCTCCAACTCCATTCCGGCGCTACCTAGGAATGGCGTCAGATCCCACAGACCGAGGGCTCCGTCCCCGGGGCCGTCCCTCTCGCCACCCCCAGACACCAGGGGCCAGTCCAGGCCTCCAGAATTTCTGATCGACTGGCTCCACGTTGGGGTTCCCCAATCCAATCCCCCCTTAGGGTTCAGTTAATTTGCTAAAATAGCTCACGGAACTCGGGGTAATACGGATGCTTACCGATTTATTGTAAAGGATATTACAAAGGTAAAGGATTTATCATAAAGGATATCGCAAGACGAAGAGATGCGCAGAACGCGGAGCCACCATGCCAGCCCTGGAGCGCCAGCCTGCAGGATCCTTCCAGCGCCAGGCGGACCGGAAGCTCGCCCGACGCTCCCTTCGGGTTTCTATGGAGGCGCCACTGCGTAACACGGACGCGCCATGACGTTGCCATGATTGACCGGACCACGGGCCACTGGTGATCCGCTCAGTCCCCAGCCCCTCTCTCCTCCCTCCCACCCCACGCCGGTCCTTCCGGTGGCCAGCTCATTAGCATATGGACATACGCCACTTGGAGACTCCATGGATTTTAGGAGTTGCGTATCAGGAAATAGAGCCAAAGCCCAGACGCGGTATTTCGCGATACCACGATCCTGGATCGCCCCAGTGGGCTCCTTTTCAGCAGAAGGCGCAGGGCCAGAGTCGGAGCACGGAGGATGCTACGCGTCTGGCTCCGAGGATGGAGGAAGGGCCCCGGCCCCTGCGGCACCTGGCATACTCTGCCTTCTAGGGCCGTAAGGGGATACATTAGTGTCATCGGAAGCCATTAAGTTTGTGGTAATGTGTCACAGCAGCCGCAGGCGATGAACACGGCGACCCTTCCGCCATTTCTCCCAGTCCTCGGGCCCAATAAATAGGCTTCTTTTGCGTTGTCAGTGACCCGCTGCTGAAAAAACGTGTCATTCATTCAGGGCAGTGATGGCGAGATGGAAAGGTGGCTGGTGATCGCTGGCGCTGGCCTGGGAGGTCCCCCCAAGAGGCAGAAAGGAGCCCTGATGCCATCCCTACTCAGGTACACACTACGGGTCCAGACACCGACGTCTGACAGAGGCTCGGAGCCCTGCTTAGTTTTAGCCAGGCTTGGAGGGCAGGGTGGGGCAACCCCCCAGCTCAGCAGTGACCAACTGATCTCACTAGCTGTGTTACCTTGGGCAAGTCACTCAACCTCTCTGTGCGGTAGTTTCCTCATTTAGTAGGGACAATACAGAACTTCTGGGGTTGTGAGGATAAAGAGGAGTCAAACTCGGATCCTACAACCCCCCCTTCCCCCGCCCCAAACTGGTGCTTCCTTGCTAGTCCCTGGATGGGCTGACACACACCATGCCTCAGTCCCTCACTCCCTTCAGCCTGGCTCAAACCTCGCCTCCTCAGAGAGCCTCACCCTGGCCAGTTCAACAGTGCAACCTGCCCTTGCCCCATCTACCCACCACCGCCGATCTCTTTTACCCCATCCAGATTTTTCGCTTTACCATAGCTCTTATCATGGTCTAACATGCCACAGAAAATGCTCACTTATTACATGTAGTGATCACTGTCTTCTGTCTCCACCGACCCACACATCCAGGATGGGGCTGCGTGGATCCCAAGTGTCTGGACCAGCAACAGGTATGGGGGAGGGGCTGGTTAACTGTTGCTCATTAAAGGACTGAATGGCCCCACAGTAGGAATTAACTTTCTTTACCGTCACTTCTTCAAAGAGACTTCCTTACCCCCCCCCCAGGCCAAGGTAGGTGCCTCTTCCACTGGCACCAGGTGCCATTTCTTTAAGTGGGAAACAAATCCAGTTGTTACCACATTTGCCTTCTGCCTTTACCCCTTGTCCTCCACTGGACACTGTGCTTTGATCAACGTTCTTGGGTGTGTAGCTGTGACCTTGAGGAAGTTACTGAACCTTGCTGAGCGGTTACCACCCTCCTTTATATCTGCAAAGGGAGGACTGTCTGCTGCTGTCATGAGGATGAGATGAAATCGTGTCAGTCAGTGCTCCATTAAGGTAAGCTGTATGTACCAATATCATCATTGCTGTAGATGGTATGAGTGCCGCGCGGGGCCGGTTCTGTGAGCTGAGTTTGGGAAAAAGGCCAGGTTTACTGTTCTCTGTCCACGTGCTGTGTAAGAGTTCAGGTGTGTGTGTTGAATGCGATCAATGCTCAAGTGGCAACATCACCTGCTTGGTTAATAATAATGATGAGGCCAGGCATAGTGGCTCAGGTCTGTAATCCCAGCACTTTGGGAGACCAAGGTGGGTGGATTGCTTGAGACCAGTAGTTCAAGACCAGCCTGGGCATCAAAGCAAGCCCCCATCTCCCAAAAATATAAAAATCAGCTGAGTGTGATGACGCATACCTATAGTTCCAGCTACTTGGGAGTTTGAAGCAGGAGGATTGCTTGGGGTCAGGAGTTTAAGGCTGCAGTGAGCTGTGATTGCACCATTGCACTCCATCCTGGGCAATAGAGTGAGACCCTGTTTCAAAAAAACAAAACAAAATAAATAAATTAAAATAAATAAATGAGAAGGAAAGCTGCATTGGATATTTTGAATGTGATATATAATCCCCTTTAATTTTTAAAGCAAACCAGCCATACGGGGTTCATTTTCTATATTGAGGATGAGAGAGGGAAGAAGACCTGCCTGTGGTGACAGGGCTTTGACTCATGGAGCCTAGATTTGAGCCCTATCCACAAGTGGCACACTCTGCCCTCCTCGTGCAGCATACGAATCCACTGTTCTCCCTGGCAGGGTCCAAGAGGCATCAGTGTGGTGAACAGCTTCCTGAGAATATCCCTGTAGTTTATCTTTGTTATAGCAGAGAGCCCCAGGACTTGGGGAAAGTTAGAGCTCACCATGTTCAGGTTGAGGAGTTGTGGCTCAGTGACCATCTGAGTGGCCTGGCCTTCAATTTTCTGGCTGCTCTAAGCAAGGTCTGCCTCATGCAGAAATTGGGACCAAAGGGCCTGGTCTAGAGTCCTGGACTTCTGAATTCTGAGCACTCTGTATTAGACACCAGGGCAGTGGTATGCTGGTGAATGTTTAACAAGCAGTTTGGATGGGGAATGTTGGCTTTGAGACTGAAGTGCTGCTCTTTGCCTGGGAATTCTTAAACTTTTAACTAATATCCTGGAATAGTGGAGGAGGGTTAATGCCTATCTCTCTGGTCTGTTAACAGAAAGAACATGGGCTTTGCACACGCATGTTAGGCCTGCCACTTCCCTGGGAGCAGATCTTGTTCCCTCACTTGTAGGGTAGGGCTCCAGGTGGCCCTATTGCAGGGAAGTGCAGCTGTGAAGACTGCTTTCAGTAAGATATCCAAGCACAGGTCATCTGCATCCTCCCCTCCCTGATCCAAATAATTTTTCTCATTCCCACAAGCTCTAAAGGACCCAGGGGTGCCGCAGGCACTCAGAGTTGTAGCTCTCAACCCTGTGTGTCCAGTAGAGTCTCTTGGGAGCTAATAAATAGCAATGGCTGTGTACCATGCCCGGCCACTTACACCAGAATCTCTGGGAACTGAGTCTGGGCCTTTTATTCTAATCTTTTTAAAAGCTTTCCAAGGTGATATCAATGCAAAATTATAGGTTAGAATCACTGTCTCAGGGGCAGGACTGGAGATCAGACCTCTCTCTGCTGAGGCCCACACCTTACCACTGGAAAAGTCTTTCATAAGCTCAAAGCCAAACTCTTAGATTCCCCAGTCAAGGGATTCCAAAGAAGTCACCAATGGTGGCCGTCCCTGGCTCAGGAGTTGACTGAGATGCCCATGGAAAGTTTAGATGTTGATTCTGAAAATAGCACCTGCCATCACCCTGTAATCCTTCCACCCTGCTTTATTTTTCAAAATACTTATCACCACCTATTGTAGATTTACTGTTGTTTCTCCTACTAAATGCAAGCTCAGTTGGTTAGGAACCTTGTCTGTGTTGACCAGAGACCAGCATGGTGCCCTACTCATGGTAGGCACTCAACTACTGAATGAATCAATGTGTCTTGGAGCCTACCCAGCTGCAGACCTTTCTTGTCATCTCAAACGCTATCCCTTTATCCTCTCCTCCTGTCCCACTTTCCCCAGGCCCCTTGCTCTCCTATCTTTATGCCTTGAGTTTGTCCAGGGTGTGCCTGCATTACGTCCTCTACAGCAGTGATTCTCAACTGGGGTGATTTTGCCCTCCAGGGGACACTTAGCAGTGTCTGGAAACATTTTTGCTCATCACAACTGGGTGGGGGATGTTACTGGTATCTGGTGGGTAGAGCACACAGATGCTGCTCAACATCCTATAATACATGGGATAGCTCCCCTCCCAATCCCTAACAAAAAATTATCTGGCCCAAAATGCCCTTAGTACTGAGGCTGAGAAGTCCTGCTCTGCAAAGAGACATTCCCAGACCTCTATGTTATATGGAAACACTCCTTAGTCCCTGCTACTTCCCAGTTCTGGTCCTCACCCCGCAGGCTCCCTAGAGCTACCCAGGAAGACCTTCTGTTACTGGCCCCACCTTCTCTGTCCCACCATTGCCCTCCCGGTGTCCTGGCCAGAAAATTCTAAATCTAAGCCCTGATCTAGACTTTATTTGACCTCTGGACCTGAAACCTTTACTCTGGAACTTTATTTATTTATTTATTTATTTTGAGCCAGAGTCTCGCTTTGTTGTCCAGGCTAGAGTGAGTGCCGTGGCGTCAGCCTAGCTCACAGCAACCTCAATCTCCTGGGCTCGAGCGATCCTTCTGCCTCAGCCTCCCGAGTAGCTGGGACTACAGGCATGTGCCACCATGCCCGGCTAATTTTTTATATATATATCAGTTGGCCAATTAATTTCTTTCTATTTATAGTAGAGATGGGGTCTCGCTGTTGCTCAGGCTGGTTTTGAACTCCTGACCTTGAGTGATTCGCCCGCCTCGGCCTCCCAGAGAGCTAGGATTACAGGTGTGAGCCACCGCGCCCGGCCATGGAACTTATATTTTTTATTTTCTACCTATGGATTTTATTCTCTAAGCGTGGGATCCCTGCAGTTACTATGCTAATAATAAGAACAATGACCATTTATATGTCACTTCCTTTCTGCCAGGCACTGTTCTACTTAATGCTGACCATAAGCCTGAGGCTGGTTCTGTTATTAACCCTGTTTGCAGGTGAAACTGAGGTGTGCAGATCTAAGTAAGCTCTCCCAAAGTCACACAACTAGTGAGTGGCACAACCAGGAGTCAATGCTAGGCAGTGGGGCCCAGAGTCCATGCTCTTAATCATGTGTATGGAGACACAACTATATGCAGCCTTGGATCCCAGAGGCGAGGTGGGCTCTGCCCTCCCTTCAAATGCACATTCATGCAGAAACAGACAATGCAGGTGTTCGGCTATCGGGGGCACCAGTGTTCAACTGGGAGATGGTCATATCCTCTGCTATGAGGACGAAGAACATCCGGTCCCAAGTTCACAGACACAAACTTCCAAGATTCACCATTACACCCCTACCTCTGTACTGCATCACAGAAAAATGACCACCAGCACTATAACTAGCATCCACACAGAGAGTGCTCTATATGTGCCAAGCTCCTGTGGGGTGTTTCAGCTGTGCTATCACATTTAATAGCACCCAGGCAGATGCTATTATGTTCCTATTTCACCCAGGAGGAAAATCTTGCACAAATGAAGTTTCCAGAGTAGCCCACCACACCTGCCATTATCCCTATGAAGACCCTCGTTTCCACAGTTACAGTGAGATATACACCAGATGGCACAATCACAGTCACACACTGCCATACACAACCACAAAGCCACTGACACTTGTGAAGACACCGAGTCAAATCACAGTCGTCCAACTACGATAAACAGCCACATCAGTCTGCAACACACACATTGGCTCCCAACAACAGAAATCTTCAGAGCCACACTCACACACCACCCCCAGCTCCCTACAGGCTCTACTGTTTCCTTATGCAAATGCCACTGATCACGTAGTGATGTATAAAACGTGGTCCGGAGACACCGCGCCCTTCACCATACAGGTCAACTCTAACACACGGAGACACCGACCCATCTCACCTCAACCTGGAGTCCACTACGCAATCACAGACACACAACCCCACAATCACGGCCACAGGCGCACAAGCCCCAAGAGTCACAGAGGCACAACTGCACGCACACCACCCAGCGCAGGTGCACGCCCCACGCGTGCTCGGGCGCGCAGCCCCGCGCTCTCAGAAACACGCCCCACACACTCGCAGTCGCCCTCACCCCGTCCCCGGGTCTGGCGCCCACCGTGACAGCTGCGGAGGAGCCGCACGCTCTCGCACCCCCGCCCCTGCGCACCACCCCGGGGCCCCCGCGCGTCCCTGGGCCCCCGCGCGGGCCCCGCCCCAGGCGTCCGGGAGCGCGAGGCCCCGCCCCCAAACAAGGCCACGCGGCGCGCGCTCCCGCCTCTCCGGGACCGGTCCGTTAGGCCCCGCCCCCTCGCGACGCGTCGCAGCACGCGAGCACGTTCACGCAAACAGGAGTCCCCGGGAGGGAACGCCGCCCCACGCACCCGCCCTCCGCGGCAGCGCGCACTGGCGCGCCCCGGGCCTCACTTGCACCTCTTCACGAAGGTATGAGCACCTACTCAGGTGCTAGGGCCCTTCCTTGAGCTCTTTTGCCAAACACAACCTCCCCAATTCGCTGCCCTCCCCGGCATGTTCCCGTTTGGGGCTTAACGTCCCACCACCCGCAGCCCGGACCGCGAGTTCAGCGCTTTGGACTCGGGCATGGATGCGCGCGTCTGCGCGTGCGCACTGCGAGCTCAGCCTGCAACTCCCAGAAGCCTCCGCGGCCTGGCTGTGGCCGGCCGCACCAGAACGTGAGTGGAGAGGGCTTGGGCTGCGCTGCTCCCGTCTGCCGGCCGGAGACGAAGTGATTCTGGAGAGGGCCGGAGGGACGTTCCTTCTGGCCAGGAGTGTGGACTCTCACCTGCGCCTTTTTGAGAAGCCCTAGCGTCCTTTGCGCGGCGCCCGGACTGCACTTCCCAGGAGCTCCCGCGGCCAGTGTCCATTCCGTGTCGTGTTGCGCCTGCGCCGTCGGGGGGCGGCCTCGGCGTGAGGCGGCGGCCAGGTGAGACTCGGACCCCGCGGGATGAACGGGGCGGTGGCGAGGCTGGCGGGGCTGCGCTGCGCTGCGGCAGGAGTGAGGCGGGGCCCGGGAGGGGGCGGAGGGGTCCAGGGTTGCCGGCCGCGGCGGCGCGTGAGGCGACCACTGCGTGATTGTGAGTCTCTGTGAGAGAAGGTGTGAGGCGTGACCTCGCCTTGGCCAAAAGCGGGGTCCCCGCTTTTGATTGTGCGTTTGTGTATGTGAAACCCAGATTGTGTTATTGTGGATATGTGTGCGAAAGTGCGTTTCCGTATAAGTGCGTATGTGACCCAGTTTTTGTAGTTTGTGCCCTCCCTTATATGTATGTGAGACCCAGCTTTTCTGGCTGTGTACGTGGGGAGGGGCCCAGATTTTGAATATATATTTGTTTAATCCGCTTTTCCATCAGGGTAGAATTGAGTAGTGCAACAGAGATGCTATAGCCCCACAAAGCCTAAAATTTCTACTGTCTAACGCTTTAGAGCCCAGTTTGTGTGGTTGTGTATTCTGTGTGTGTGTGTAGCCACTGATAGTGAATGTGTGTGCTTCTATATGTGTGTGTGCCACCCAGTTTTTGTGGTGTGTGCACTGTCTTGGGAACCACTCATTTTGAACACGTAGGCTGGTGAATGTTTACATATAGTCTATGGCTAGTTTTGCACAATGGCACAATTAGTAGTTGCAACAGAGATCTTTTTTTTTTTTCTTTTGAGACAGTCTCTCACTTTGTTGCTCAGGCTAGAGTGAGTGCCGTGGCGTCAGCCTAGCTCACAGCAACCTCAAACTCCTGGGCTCAAGCAGCAATCCTCCTGCCTCAGCCTCCCAAGTAGCAGTGACTACAGGCATTGCCCACCATGCCAGGCTAATATTTTGTATATATATTTTTAGTTGGTCAATTAATTTCTTTCTATTTTTAGTAGAGATGGGGTCTGGCTCAGGCTGGTTTCGAACTCCTTACCTCGAGCAGTCTGCCTGCCTTGGCCTCCCAGAGTGCTAGGATTACAGGCGTGAGCCACCACGCCCGGCCTGCAACAGAGATCTTATGACCCACAGGCCTAAAATATTATCTGATTCTTTTGAACTCAGATTTTGTGTTGTGTGTATATGTTTGTGTAAGACTAAGTTACTGTGGTTGTGTATGGGAAGCTACTGTTTGTGACCGTGTGTGTACCTGCCTTTATGTGGAGACCCAGTTTTTGTGGTTGTATAGGTGTGCATATGTGTGAGGGAAACCCAGGGCTTATAGTTTCGTTCATGTGATTCTATGAGTGAGGAAGTTTTGGGTACAAGGTACTAGGGTAAATTTGTGAGGAACACGTTTTAGTTTCCCATTTCAATGATTAGGTGGTGATAATAATAAAAATATCGGCTAACAGGTATTTCTGGCTTTTACTATTACTCCTGTCAGCACTATGACTGTTAGTAGTGCTTAACTGATTGCTGATCCTAGTCAAAAGCGGTTTTTTTTCTACTTAAGGTTTTCTTTAATCCTTTTAACCTTCTTCTGAGTTGTTTCAACAAAAATCTCCAGCTTTCAAATGTGTGAACTTGTAAAACAGGAATGAGAGCAGGAATGACTCCATGACAGGCTGCACTTCCTGGAGTAGGCCTAAGTTTAGGTTTCCCCGGACTTCGCCTACTACAGCCTTCCCCGAAATGATGTGCACCTGTGCACCGCTTTTGAAGGAGCCGATCAGGAGCCCACACGATCAGCCACTTTTAAAGGAACCAATGGTCTAAGGGGGGAGAGGGGGAAGGTGTACCCAGAGTGTATAACTTGCAGAAAAGTATAAAAGCTTGACTTATACCCCAGGGCTCGGTCCTGGTTCATAGGGAGGCCACTGCGTTGGTGCTCCAGGACCTGGACCCTAGCTCGAGCTAGCCAATAAACTCCTTTGTGCTTTGCAGCCTCAGCGATTCTGCCTCTCTGTTCCTGAGGCCGAAGGAAACCGGCTCTAACAAACTGAGGCACAGGGACATTAAGTTACACACCTAAGGTAACACAGCTAGAAAGGGTCAGAGCTGATTTTGAATCCAGGTCTTTCTGACTTCAAAGGCCCTACTCTTTCTATCTCTTCAGGGTGTGTAAGGTGTTTTTTGTTTGTTTGTTTGTTTGTTTTTTGTGGGCTGGGAGATTATTCTGAGTATCTGATAGTGCTAGAACAAGAGGTGTGGCTGAGATATTCAAGAAACCTCAGAATAAATCTCTTCCTCACACCATATTTCCTTAGTGGGGAACCCCAAATCTTTATATGACAGAATAGGGACTTTGTCCCACCTGGGTCAAATGTCAGCTCTGACTCTGGTGTGGCCTTGGGCAAGCTGTTGTCCCTCTGAGCAGGTGGACATGCTGCTGGCATTAACTGGCAGTGTACACACTCCTCGGTCCCCACCCTACCCATTAGTTCTTGGTGCTGGGCGGACAGAAAACCCAAGCGTTCAGCTGCTTCAGCAAGTGTACATTTTATTACAGAAACTGGGGAGGGCTGTGACAAGGCTGTGGGGAAGAGCAGGGGACACCCCTGCAGACACTAAGTTCTCTGGACCCCCAGAGGCACCTTCCCGCCAGCCCCAGGCAGAGGGTGTCAGTCCTTTTGCAAGAAGACCCCACTCTTCACCCCACATGGACAGTCCAGGGCACGGAGAGCTTTCCGAGGAGGTGACAGCACCTGGGACATGGAGGCCATGGATGGACATGGAGGCTGAGATGAAGCAGGGTCACTAGAAAGAACAGCAGGGGTCATTTCTAAAGAAGGAAAGAGAGAGAAGTATTGGTGGTTTTTCTCCACACATTCTCACACTCTTTGCCTTGTGCGCCCACCTGGCCCTGGGGCTCTGCAAGACCAGCCCCACCACCTCCGCTGGCCTCGTCCCTCTGCCCTGCCAGGGTGTCCACAGGCTGGGGCGCACTTCCCGCAGGTCCTGCAGCCTGGTTCCATCCTGTCATGCCTTCTAACCACCTGGTGGGGGCAGCCACACCCTCAGGTTCCCCTCTTTAATTCTTTGGTTGGGTTTTTTTTTTTTTTTTTTTTTGGAAATTGTTGAGGCAAATGCACATAACATAAAAGTCACCATCTTAACCATCCCCAAAAGAAACTCATTAGGTGGTGACTCCTGTTTGCACCTTCCCTCTCAGCCCTTGGCAATCTGCCTTCTGTCTCTATGAATTTGCCTAATCTGGATATTTCCTACAAATGGAATCACACACTATGACCTTTTTTGTCCAGCGTCTTTCACTCAGCATAAAGCTTTCAAGGTTCAGCCATGTTGCAGCATGTGTCAGCACTTCATTCCTTTTTAATGGCTGAGTAATAGCCTATGTAGGAATGTGCCATGTTTTGTTTATCCATTCATCAGTTGATGGGCAGGGCCACAACCATCCATTTGTGTATTATCTGTGGCTGCTTTGGGTGACAGCAGCAGCGTTGACCAGGTGGCTTGCCAGAAATATTTGTTATTTGGTCCTTCCTGGAGAAAGTTTGCCAACCTCTGGCCTCATGGGTTGCATATGACAGATGGACACTGTCATATGAAAATAAAAATGTGAAATGACTAATTCTTTAAAGTATGGTTGGAGAGAGCCTGAAACTCCATTCAACGCCATTCATTTTATTCAGCTGTCCTCCCAGTGGGGTCTAAAGAACTCTGGAAACAAAACCATGCTGAGGTGAATCTTGAGTTCTCTAGGCAGACAAGAGGCAGTGAAGGCTGTTCCCAGCAGAGGGACCAACACGTGCAATGGCATAAAGGAGTGGGAAAATGTGGTGTTCTCAGGGGGAATCACAAATGGGTTAATGTGGATGGAATGTGGGTGGGGTGGAGGGAGACATGTGGAGAAAAGCTTGGAAAGGCAGGAAAGGTCTGGAGGCTGAGAGTCCTTGGGTACCATGCTGAGGAGCTGGACTTGACCACATAGTGCAGCGTCTTCCTACCATGTTCTGTGAGGCCCCGGGATCTTCTAGGGCTTCCACAAAGGTTTGCTTTGATTCTCATTTCAAAAATGAAACTATTTTTTAAAGCTGTGATTAAAATACAGCACATGCACTAAAATTTTTCATTTATTGGACACCTCTATCAACCTGTTGCATGTTTTTCACGTACACCTTGGAAGAATCTATTAACTGAAGGCAAGCTGTTATCATTTGCAACAACTTATCTCTGTGGGGTAAGATTGTCCTCCTTATAGAATAAGCAAAAGAAAACACTGAAAGAAACGGGGCAATATAGACTGATATAAGACAGCAAAGGCCATCTGCAATCTCTCTGCTTGAAAATCTCATTAGCTGGCTTCATAATAAGTAAATGTCACACAGTTAATCTTATTAAAAGTTTTTTGTTTTTTTTTTTCTTTTTAAACAGGATCTTGCTCTATCGCCCAGGCTAGAGTGCAGTGGCATTATCATAGCTCGTTGCAACGTCAAACTTCTGTATTCAGGCAGTCCTCCTGCCTCAGCCTCCAGAGTATCTTGGACTACAAGAGTGCACCACCACACCTGGCTTAATTTGTCTATATTTTTTGTAGAAACAGTGTCTTGCCATGTTGCTCTGGCTGATCTTGAACTCCTGGGCTTGAACATTCCTTCCATCTTGGCCTCCCAAAGTGCTAGGATTATAGGCATGAGCCACCACACCCAGCCTTGAAAAGTGTTTTTGGTAATCAAAAGCAACTTTGAGTCTTTTATATATTGGGATTCCATGTAAGATTTCATTAGAAAAGTGTTGCGGTTTTATTTTCTTTAAAAGTTTAAAAACCACTGATATAGCTGATGAGGTTCCACTGCTGGGATTTATGCTGGACTCATTGGGGGGGGGGGTGGCGCTGTCACATAATTTAGTTTGCATTTCTTAATAAAAGCACTCTGGCTGGTGGGGAAAGGAAGAATGAAAGGTGGGCAGTGCAAGAGAGCCCAGGGAGGAGGCTGTTTGTAGTCACTGAGGGAAGAGAAATCTCATACTGTCTACTTACCTTAGCCTCATCCAAGCTACAGTCATCTCATGGAAACTGAGTAGCTTCTTAACTAATTTCTGTACTTTACTCCAAATCGCTGGAACCTGTCCCTTGCCTACTCACAACCTTTCAGTGGCTTCCCATGGCTTTTAGGATTGGGTCCAAAATGCTTGCATGGTTGTCCAGGTCCGAGGGGTCTGCTTGTACTCACCACCCAACCCCCTCCTCCTTCTCCAGCCTCCATCCTTCTTTTTGACTTCAAGCATGTCTGGGCCACTTTCCAACCCAGGCCTTTGCACAAGCTAGTACCTTCACCTGGAGTCTCTTGTACCTGCTTTCTGTCTGTCCAACTACCTCCCATTCTCAGATCAGTGTTGCTTTTCTAAAGAGGCTTTCCTTGACCACCCAACAATCCACAGTGGGGTTCTTCCATTTTCTTTCTCATAACATCCTGTGCTTTTCCTCTGTAGCTCTAAGTATCACCTGTAATCATCTATTTATTTGTTTTATATCTGTCTGCCCCATTCACCACTGAATCCAGGATCCATCGATGAGTAGCTGCTCAATAAAAATTTATTGAGTGAGTTCCTTGATAAGTTAAACCTGGAATTGTCACGTGACCCAGCAATTCCTCATCTAGGTATGTACCCAAAAGAATGTAAAACAGATACTCAAAAACTCATACAGGAACGTTCATGGCAGCACCATGTGCAATAGCCAAAAGGTGGAGAGAACCCAATGTCCTTCAGCTGATAAATGGATAAACAAGATGTGGTTAGCAATGGGATATTATTCATGAGTAAAAAGGAACAAAGTACTGATAACGTGGTACAACATGGGTGAATCTTGGAAATACTATGCTAGACATAACAACACCAGGCACAGAGGCTGCATGATTCCTTTATATGAAGAGTCCAGAATAGGCAAGTCTGCAGAGACAGTGGATTAGTGGTTGCCAGGGACAGAGGGGAGAGACTACTCTATAATGGATACAGAGCTTCCTCTTGGGATGACAAAAAATTTCTGGAAATAGATAGTGGCTATGATTGGACAATATTGTGACTGTTCTTATTATCACTAATGGTAAAATTTTATGTTGTACATATTTTGCCACCATTTCTAAAAATCCAAAAGAAAAATTTATTGAGGGGATTCATAAATGAATTCTTCCAGCTCTGCGTGAGCCCATTGTGTGCATTGTGCTCCATGGGCCATGTCAGGCAGCCACTTGAAATTCAACTTGGGACTTTTCACACAATTCTGCAATTCTATTATGATCGCAGCTTCCAAACCCACCTGGGTCCCCTACCTCAAACGCTGGGTGATTGGGATGAAGCTCTCCCCACCCCGACCCACCACACCCCTGCCGCAGCATACCTGATGTCCAGGTCCGGGTTACAGTAGTGGCAGTAGCACTTGGGAGATAGACAAGGAAGCAAACCGGGAAAAGAGAAAACAGCAGAGGTGAGGCAGCAAGCTTCTTCTCCCTTTCTCCACACTCTTTCCTTTTTCATCCTTTCTGCCCTCCTTCTCCACCCCTTCCCTCTTGTTGTGACACCCCATGGTCTTGCTGGTCTGTTCCACCCCACAGCTTCTGCTCCTCTTCATCCCCAGAAACAGCACCATCCCCAGAGCTGGGGTTTCTGAAACCCAGCACCTCTGGCATTTCAACCAGCACCATTCTTTGTTATGCTGAGCTGTCCTGGGCAATGCAGGATGTTGAGCAGCATCCCTGGACTTGACCCCCTGGGTGCCAGCGTCACTTCCTCTTGGTGTGACAGCCACACAAGGCTTCGGACCCTACTGAGGGTCCCTGGGGTGGCAAAGTCACCCATGTTTGAGAATCACCAGTCTACCAAGGGCTCAAGTCAGAGTCTGGGGCCCATCTCCTAGGTTTGTCCATTTCCTCTGTCCCTCACACCCAATTCATCAGTAGTTCTGCTGTAGAACCACTCACCGCACAACTGTCATCCGTACCAGCCACCCAGTCCCCACCATGTGGACACCCCTCCTAATCTGCTTCCACCCACTCCCCACACGCAGCACCCAGAGTTACCCTTTCGCAACTCAAATTGGAGGTCGCTGAGGCTTTCTGTCAAACTTGGAATAAAAGCATCCTTGCTGTGGTCTACAAGAACCCCACGTGACTGGACTCTCAGATCACACTGATTCTCCTGGGGTCCCCCAGGGTGCAAGCTGTTCCTACCTTAGGGCCTATGGTGCACGTTTGCTTTGCTTCTGGCAGCTGTTGTCCCCAGGCATTCCCACAGCAGGACCCTCCTCCTCCTCTCTCCATCCAAACATGCCTGCCCAGGGAAAGCCGCCCGGCTGCGTGCTCTGTGATGTCACCCTGAGTTCATTTAGTGGAGCTTGCTGCTCGTGTCCTCCTGGTCCCCCTGTACTTACTGTGTGTGCCCTGTGAGCTCAGGGGCCCTGTGGTTTTGTCCTCTGCATCCCCAGCATCTGGCACAGGGCCGCTACCCCACAGGAATGGTTGAGGAGTGAGTGAGTGCATGGATGAGTGGATGGCAACTTGCCAGGTCCAACACTGTGCCCTGCTGTCTTCTCCAACGCTTTGCACGTCGTGTTCCCGCCTCCTGGAAGGCTTTCCCCTTGCCCCCTTCAACTGGCCAATCCCATTCATCCTTAAGACATAGGGGAGCTGTCTCCTTCAGGAAGCCCACCCTTCCCTTGAGAGCCCACCTCCCGCTAGCACGCCGCCAGAGGGGCCTATGAAACGCCACCCTCGCCTGGCAGCCCGGCTCGCTCTCCTGCCTGTCTCCCTAACAGGACTAGGACCTGCTTGAAGCCAGCTCGGCCATCGTAGTCCCCAGCAATCAGTAGAAGACTTGGTCCTTACGAACCTCCCTTATGGCGGGTGGGGGGTGCACAGACACTGAGAACAGATGAGTGGAATCCTTTATGGGAAACTTGGGCTCTTGGTACGGAAGGGAGGGGTTTTCTCCCAGCCTGGGGGTGGGGGAGAGGAGAGAGGTTGTTGACAGAAGGGGTCTCCTCTCCTGCCTTTTGTACTTGGCACTTCCTAGGCCCCCTCCTTGCCTCTGTCTCCTCCTCCCCCTGCCCTTCTAATCCCCCCTCTCACCCCCTCCCTCTGCAGCACACGGGGTCCCTGGCGCTGGCCCCTTCTTACCCAGTCCCCCTTGTTGTAGGAGGTGAACAGGAAGGTCATCACCATGTAGGCACATTTCAAAAAGTTCCATCCATTCTTCCTCTTGGGAAGCAGTTTCTTGGGTGGGCTGGTGGCCAGGGCAGGCTTAACTGCAGAGGACAAGGGTGGTGACTCAGGCAGGCGGCCTTCACTTCTCCCCAAGAAGTTCCTGCCGTTTCTGAATCTCCATTCTGAGCTCCAAACCCACATCTGCACCTGCCCCCTGGGCTGAAATCTTGATCCACATCCATGGTTGTTGGGGCTTCCTCATTTGGTTTCCACCCTGTATCCTGGACAAACAGTTGGGAATCTTTCCTGCTCTCCCACACCTGCCTAGATTTCTCACCAGACCCCCTGTCCCCTCGATCCCCAGCTGGTGGCTCTCCTGATGACTGCATCTGCCTCCTGTGTCAGGCTTCCTCTTTCTCCACCCATCTTCCACATGGCTGCTAGAAGGATCTTTCTAGTACCCAAATCAGACCGCTTCACTTTGTTATTTTCAATCCTCATGTGATGTACAAAGGTTGTTTTTACTTACTCAACATTTTTTCCCTTGTCTTTTTGTTTTAAAAGTATTACATTCCAGAAAATTCAAAATTTTACAGGTAAACATACCTACTAAACAGGTCCCAAATCCAAAAATGAAACATTATCAGTGTAAAGGTAAATACAAGTGGAAAAACAAATTTCTCCCTGCCGAAAATTCAGGAAGAGACGACTCCTTGTCCTTTGTTCTCAGAGGATTTATTTTAGAAAATGTGTTATTGTTAAGTCTCTGTTTCTTTGAAGTGTATGAGAATCTTTTTAAAAAGCTAAATAAGCCTCTCGCTGATTTTATGACCTGGGATGTTTTTTCTCAAGGACCTTGTAGCCATCTCTTGGAAATGCAAACATCGAGGAAGACAGAGCCCTTTTCCCTCTCATACCTCAGGATGTTGGGTTTCCTTGGTAGCCATGAGCAGTATGGAAGGGGCAGGTGGCTTGAAGACTTTGGATGCCCTCAGGAAGACAGGCTCCCCCACACTGAAGTCCCCAGCCTTGACTCCCTGAAATCTTCTCTCCACAAGGCTTTGTTATGACCCAGGCAGAAGGCACTCACTGTCCTGTAGACAGGGAAAGGCACGACCCCATGCACTGACCTTCTTCCTTGCAGCCATTTGTTTGTTCTAAAAAGGAAGAAGAGGAGAAAGTAGAGGAGAAGCAGAAAGAGGGGGAGGGAGGAGGAATGAAAGAAAGAAAGAAAAGAAAGCATCAGTGAGTTTTGAAATGGATGGAGACCAAGCTGTAAACAGTGCTGCTTCTGGGTGCTTCAGAGGGGGAGAGAAGGGAGCACAGTCGGCCTCCTTGGCATCCCTCTGTCCAGGCACTCTGCTGCCCACGGCCCTTGGACACGCTGTTACTTTGCCTGGAATGCACTTCCTCCAGGTGTACACACATCCCTTCCCTCACCTCCTTCAAGTCTTTGCTCAAATATGACCTTTCTTGATCACCCTTTAAAAACTCACCCACCTCACACAGTCTCCCTCACTCTATTGTCTTCATAGGACAGAACAACATCCAGCAGAGTTGGAACCTACTTCCCCAGTGATTTCTTTCCTTTCACCTCTCATTGGAATACAAGTTCCACTTGGACACAGATTTATGTCTGTGTTACTCCCTACTGTATCTCCATCACCAAGAGTAAGACTTAGCACAGAGTAGCTACATTAATTCATATTTGTTGGATGGATAAAGACGTGTTAAACATTTGTGATGGCGATAAAAGAGTATGAGGTTTGATGGTATCTAAAGGCTCTTCTCACATTAAAAAAAGCTAATAACTATATTTCCATGCACATGAGTTAATGCAGACTCACCGTTCAACACCTGCAGGCTCAGCAAACCTGAGGAAGACAAGGACATGCAGATCGAATCACCAAAGACAGCATGATAAAGACTCCCAGACAGGCAGGTTCAATAAGAGCCCCCCAAGCTACTCCTCCCCTGAGAAGCCCGGCTGGGTCCCCTGGCACCTTCTCTTTGCCCTGTCCCTGCCGCCCCTCCCTCAGGACGTGGTGCACGTTGCAATTTAGCTGTTACGTGTCTTTCTCCCCCTTCAGACTAGGTGTGAGTATGGACGAACGAGCACGTGAGATTCATCCCTCAGGTCTGCGCCACCTGCAGGGTCCTGGCACAGACAAGCTTCCCACAAACCCAGGGCTGCATGCAGGGAGGCATTTACCGAGGATCTCTGATGTTGTCCACCCAGAGGGAAGTGGGCATCCAGGAGGCAAGACGGAGATTGGGGAGCAGGCAGGGTCCAAAGCGTGGAGTCCCAGGGGCCAGGAACGATGCGGCCACATGTAGGGGAAGCGTCACTCCGTCAGAGGAGGGAGACTGGGAGTGAAGGACAGGGAGCCCCCGTGGTCATGGCAAATGGTTAGGACTTGACTGGGGCGGACCCTGAGGGCCCCGTCCTGTGGGTCAGAGGGGAGCCTGACCCCTAGGAGGACTTGCCTAGGGGTGATCTCAGGCTGGGAAGGACCTCCCTCCCCAAGCCCCTTCCCTTGTATTCGACGTCACTGTGACGGGGGCAGCTTACGTCCCCCCTCCCCGTGTTGTTTCCTGAACTTATCTTTTATAACAACTTGATTGCAATATAATTCACATAATTTACAATTCACCCATTAAAAGTGTATAAGACAATATTTTTTAGTACATTTGGAGTTGTGCAACCATTGCCATGATCGGTTTTAGAACATTTTAATCACCCTAGAAGAAACCTTGCACCCATTAGCTGTCTCCTCCAAACCGTACCCATGAGCAGTCACCCCCGTGTCCCCTCACGTGCCTCTCTCACCTGTGATCCTAGGCAACCACTAAGCCACTTTCTCTGTCTGTGGATTTGTCTATTCTGGACACTTCATGTAAACAGAACCACACCCTATGTGGCTTTTGTGTCTGGCTTCTTTAACTGAGCATCATGTTTTCAAGGTTCACCCACGTCATAGCCTGTATTGGTGCTTCGTTTCTTCTCCTTTATGGCGGAATACCATCCTGCTGTGTGGGCCAGGCACGGTACCTTGCTCCTATAATCCCAGTGCTTTGGGAGGCCAAGGCAGGAGCACAACTTGAGGCCAGGAATTTGAGACCAGCCTGGGCAACATAGTGAGACCCATTTTTTACAAAAATAAAAAAATCAGCCATGTTTGGTGGTGCTGAGGTGGGAGGATTGCTTGAGGCCAGGAGTTAGAGGTTACAGTGGACTGTGATTATACCACTGCACTCCAGCCTGGGCCACAGAGTGGGACACTATCTAAAAAAAAAAAAAAAAATCCTATTGTATGGATAGACCACCTTTTATTTACCCATTCATCAGTGGATGGACATTTGGGTTGTCCTCATGCCTGCTTGTGTAAATAAAGCTTTATTGGAACACAGCCCTGCCCACTCACTATGTATTACCTATGGCTGTTTTCATGCTGAACAGGCAGTGTTGAGTAGTTTGGGCCTAGACCATCTGTCCCTCAAAGCCTAAGATATTTACTATTTGGCCCTTTACTAGAAAAAGTGTGCCAATTGACCCCTGCTTTATAAAACTGAATCCCCAAACAGAAAGATTATTATCACCGTTAATCATGTAGGGAAATAGAATCCAAGGGTGTTTGGATAAGTTAAATCCAAATTACAGGTGATGGGAGTGAGGTTCCAACCGAGGTCTGTTTGCCTTAAAACTCAGGTTCTCTTTGAAAGGTGGTCTTACTAATAACCTAACAGGAAAATAAGCTATCAAACAGAAAGTGAGAGGAATAAACTCACAGTCCCTTAGAAGAGAAAAACTCATAACACAGCTGCCCCTTTGTTTGATGAAATACCTGGAACTCAACTCAGTGTCTTCAAGCCTAACTCATTATCTCTAAGAGTTTGTTTCACAGCCTTGAAGAGCCCTAAATCACAGGGGTACAAACGCTCCACCTCAGTTCCTGCCGGGACTGCATTTCAAGGACTCTGGTAAAGCCAGCCTCACAGAGAAAAGAAAAAAATGGAAAAGCAAACACAGCCACTCCACAGTCACTTGTGTTGTCAGTCTGCAGCAAAGAAAAAACAAGCCGGTTTTACCCTTTAAAAACACCAAGCTGCTTTTCCTTGGCTCCAGGCATTTCCCCGAACTCTTTTCCTAGTGCGTGCCATTTTCCTTCTCTCTCTCTCTCTGAAGAAATAAAATAAACTTTTTACTACTTTCTTTCCTAATCTTTGAGAAATCTTTCTCCACCTGCACTGTGAGTTCCTCGAGTCAGCACCCTAACACCGTCCAGCACACCACACGTCTCCTGGGCTGGCGTGAAGGGCAGGGAGGGAGAACCACCTGGAACACCTGCCTGGAGCCCAGCGGCCTTGCGTTAGTGTCTGCGCTTTGTTTTCTGGTTTGTGTTCGTTTCTCCCTGTCACTGGAGCAGGGCAGGCCCTGCCTTCTCTTTGGGAGGCGCTGCTGGCTAGCAGCGGGGAGGAGGAGGAGGGAGGCTGTGGGAAGGGAACAGAGACTGGGCGATGGCAGACACGGGAGCGACCAGAACAAACATAAATGACGATTTGGCTGGCAGCGCCTGGCGGAGCACCGATTCCGTGTCTGACATTTCGTTCAGGGGGGTTTTCTCAAACTCCACACTGGTGACATTGGGGCTGGGAAGGGCTTCCTGTGCACTGCAGGGTGTCCAGCAACATCCCTGGGCTTCACCCACCTGAAGCTGCAGCCCCCCACCGCCTCCCTGAGTGGAGCAACCAAAAATGTCTCCAGGTGTTGCCAGATGTGCCCAGGGGCAAATCTCCTAGGTTGCACGATCTTGTTAATTCCTCATATCCATGTGAGGCTGGAACTGTGACCTGTAGCCTACAGGAGGCGGAGCCTTTCAGGAGAAGGGCCCCAGTCTACAGATGTCAGGACTGACCCTACAATGCCACACTCCTTGTTAGTTCTGATTCCCACTCTGAGCTTAATTTTTACCTTCCTTAAAAATAGGATAATAATACTTCCAGCGAAGGAGCAAGGCAGAGACCTCATTATTCTGAGCTGCTTCAAACATTATCAAGTCTCGGTTAAGAGTGCAATTGGTGATCCTGACTGCCTGGGTTCAAGTTCTTCCCCGCACCTTACTGGCTCTGTGACCTTGAGCGAGTTACTCTCCATCTCTGCCACAGTAGTCTCTCTCCCTTGTAAGCAGAATGACAACTTGAGGGTAGTTATGCATCATCACTTAGGACCTTGCCTGGGACCTGAAATGTGCCCTTGAGATTTGGGGTATGATTTTTCAATTTGATTTTTCATGCCAGGATCTCTTGGGTTTGACCAAGGCTCAGGCTGCGTGAAGGTGGCGTTTGGAGTTGGCAGGAGGTGGGGGCCAGTGTCAGAGCTGGGTTTTAGACAGCTTTGAATGTGGGTCAGAGGAGTGTGGCCACAGCAAAAGGTGGAAACAACCCAAATGTCTATTCATGGATGAACAGATAAAAACAAACATGTCTGTCCCTACAGCTAAGTGTCACTGAGCCACAGGAAGGAGTGAAGCTCTGACACCTGCTACACTGTGGATGAACCTTGAGGACATGATGCTGACACAATAGGCCACAGGGTGTGTGGCTGCACTTACTTGAGGCACCCAGAGTCATCAGACTCACAGCGCACGAAGTACAGTGGGGACATGGGGAGTTAGTGTTTAATGGGTGCAGAGCTTCAGTTTGGGGAAATTAAACAGTTCTGGAGATGGATGGGGTGATGGTTGCACAACCTCATGAAGGTACCAAGTGCCACTAAATCGCACACTTTAAAGTGTTTAGTAAAATTTATATTTTGTGTATTATATCACAATTTTTTAAAAAAAATTATGTGACCTCTTCTTGGCAAACAGTGCCTTTTCCAGGGAACAGCATCATGAAATAGCCAGAGCTGGTTTTCAAGGACACGAGTGACCGTACCCGGGCTTCGATGGACGCCCAGCACAGCAACACGGTTAAGCTACAGAGCCAGATGGGCGGAGACCTGTGACCCACCACTGCGCCGTGCAGCCTGCGTCTGGTTACTTCACCTGCCTATGCCCCAGAAGGGTGTGGATGAAAATGCCTGCCTTGTGAAGAATTCTCGGGCATTACACAAACATGATACATTGAAAGTACTGTTCTGGTGCCTGGTACCTGGGAAGCTGTCAGGGAACTCTACCCATTGTCATCACATCATCATCACCATGCAGCGGGCGCCCCTGACTTGGGGAGGGATTGGCTCTATGGGACACCCCGCCTTTCTGCAGGTGAAGGTAATATAGCTGTTTCTCCCAGTCCCTGGGTTTAAAAAGATGGTCAGAAGCTGAGGTGATTCGTGGATGAGAGTTGACCTCCCTTGGCAGAGATGGGAATGAGACCAAAAGAAGGGTAAAAAAACAGTGAAACGAGAGCCTTACGTTTCAGTACTGTCGAGATCCAGACGGCAAGGAGGAGGCAAGCCAGCCGGCGGGTCAGTGGGCACCGACAGAGGCACAGGGAGGAGAGGGAGAGAAGTATTAGTGACGCCTCCTTCCTGGCTCACCCCACCCCGCTGGTGCTCGGAAGAGACCCCCCAAGGAAGAGAGGCGGACATCTCTTCCCGATTCCGTGGGAAAGGGTGGATGCCGCTCCGTGACTCCAGAGACACGTTTATCCAGAGGCTAGAATCCCCGGGCGCCTCTTTCCATGGGATTTCATTCTCCAGAGATTATTAGAAGAACATGCCCTGACACGCCACTGTTCTCCTTTCTCCCCTGGGGGTCAGGAGACAGAAAGTTTGAGGAAGAAGCAAATAGCTGCTTTTTGGTTTTCCTGATTCATTCAGGAGCCCTCCCAGCAAACACAACTCGATAGGTTCTCATGTTCTGGGGCGGTGGGCCTCCGTCCCCGTCCCCGAGCGAAGCCCACACGGCCAGCCCCGCGCCGGGCCGCCCTCGCCGCTCCCCGCGGGCCGTGGAGCCCGGGCCCCAGAGATGGGGCGGCAGAGGGAGCGTTTCTCTCAGCCTGTGCCCTAAACTGAGATGACCTATCGAAGATCCCCTTCTCTTTCTTGTTTCCGCTTCTTCCCAGCATCCAAAAATATCCACGGCAACCACAGAAAAGAAAAATAACTTACTTTTCACTGGAAAGTGCGGCGGAACCGGCGGTCAAGGGGGTCGGCGTGGGAGAAAGTGAGCAAGAGAGTGGGGTCAACACTGCATTCGATTCAGTTATTCCTTCATCAGATATCTAAAATTTATTTTAAACTTTTAATCATGACTTTTAAATTAAGTCAACCCAAATGGCCTGAAGTGAGTTAGGCCCCAGGAGGTGACCCCGGCCTTGCTTGGTTTGCAAACACAAGCAAAACTTCACTCGAGATATTACATGGAAATGCCCACATTAGAGAAAAACAGAATTTAAGCGCAGCCAGTCAGAAGCAGCCAACAAACGTCGGCAATGAGAGACTCTGCAGTGGGACAGACCAAACATGGCAGCTGCAGGGCTGTCACCAGCTAGCACATCTTTGCTTTACCTCCGTTGTCCTGTAAACCCGCCCCCTTGCGTTCCCTTGGGGAGACCTTGGAGCTGCCTGACATGAATTGTTCTTTGCTCAAATAAACTCTTTAAAGTTTTACCATGCCTCAGTTTAAACACTAATTATAAACTCACAAAAAATTGGAAAAAAGGTGAATTGACAAATTGATACTGGCACAGTACAATTGCCTGGACTCTAGACCTTACTTAGATTTCACCAGCTCGCGCACGCGTATTTTTTGGCACTTTATCAAATACTTATGTATCTCACAGTCACAGGGAGGCTATCCTAAAATAACAAATGAGAGAAGGGACATGCATAGATAAGAGGAGTGTTTAAGTCTCGAAGGCTTGAGCGAGGACCCAGAGCAGGTCGTTCAACGGCACTCCATCACTTTCTGTCTGTCCCCAGGCCAGGACGGAAGTAGGACTCAGACTGCAGATGGGGGTTGGGCAGCACCACTCCCTTCCCTGAGCACACACCCCAGGGAGCCATGCTGGGCCCCTTCCCACATGACCCGACACTGAATTCAATTCAGTGGGTCCACGTGGGCAGATTCACTAACTACATGAAAGAATTATTAAGTGAGAAATGTGTTACAAGCACGTAACTTCAAGCTTCACATAGAAGTCCCCCTTCCTTAGATTTGGGGTGGGGTCCTAAATCATAATTTTAAACAAAGACCCTGAGAAGCACTGCTCTAGCTCAGAGGTCAACAAACATTTTCTGTAAAGGGCTGGGTAGTAACTAGCATAGGCTTGTGGATCGTGTGCTCCCGGTCACCACTGCTTACTCGCATTGCAGGACCAAAGCGGCCACAGGCAATGTGTAAATGAATGGGTGCCCTGGGGTGTCAATAAACTATTTACAAAGCCAGGCAGAGGGCCGGACTGCAGTTTGCTAAATCCTGCTTCATGTTGGTGGTTCCCAACCCACTTGAGCCAAATTGTCAGAAGCACCTGAGAAACTTTTTGAAAGAACAGATGCCTAGATCCCTCCCTTGGTGTTCTCAGGCGGAAGGTCCAGGTGGAACATGGAAATCTGTCCTTTAAAAAGAGCTTTAGATGATCAGCCAGTTTGGGGCAACCACCTTTCCTAACTTGGGCTCCATTTGACTTTCAGGGCTGTTATGAGAATTCAGTGATGTTACAGAAGTAGGTTCTCCAATGTTAGTTTTCGTCAACTCCTTCCAATGAGCAAAACTCACTCAGATTATTGGCAGTGGGGGCACCCTTTTCCTTCAGGGAACATTTGTGTAGTCCAGCTGTGTGCCAGACATTCTGCTAGGCTGTGGACATGAAGGGTGGACTAGTCGGCCCCGAGGAGCAGCACAGACCGGGAGGGAGGGCTGGACACCTGTTTGCAGGGCACGCCCACCATCTTTCCTTCTTGACAGTTCTCCTCCATTCTGTAGTGGGCATGGCCCCTTCTCTCTCCAAAACCCCCTCTTCCTTTTGGAAGGATGAATGGGGTAAGGGCCTTCTCACTGGAACAATTTACACTCCAGACAAGGAAGACGTAACTTAGTGAGGTGCGGGAGCTGGCTTAGACTAGGAAAATTCCAGGAATTGTACAAGCCAGCTGTTGAGCCATTAGCAGCTTGAAATCAGCCATGGTTAGAGTATTTACACCGTGAGAAGCAGCAGTCACTAGGAGGCAGGGCTCCCTTCCCCACCCATGCCCCCTGGGGTGGCTGCTAGACTTCATCAGCACACAGGGCTTGGGCTCCTCGGCGGAGTCTGTTTCAACTGATGATGCTTCTGTACCCAGACCAGTAGCTAAACTTCAGAGCCCAGACCAACCCATCCCAGAATGTTTTTTAAGGAATTCCAAGGCCCAGAGGGAGTTATGAGAATCTAACTCTAGGGACACAAACTGTCACAGTACTTACTTTCTTCTTCTGTTCTATCTGGAGGCCAGATTGCAGGCAGCCAGTGGGGGTGCGGAGTAGAGAGAGAAATCGGCATTAAGACTTGCATCTTAGACATCCCCAAATAAGCAGTTAGAGGACAGTGGAGGTGGAAATGCCACCAGAGATGAGGCATTGCAACTCACTTATTTTACAGGTAAAGACATAGACTCAGTCATGCTCCTTCTAATAAATATTTATGGAGCATCTAATATGTGCTGGGTATTAAGCAGGGAATGGAGGATACGGTGGAAGGTGGGCAAGACCCCCACACTTGGGGAGCTCACACTCTAGTCAGAGAAGCAGGCGACACAGGCATCGTGCATCGGGGTGTAGGCAGGAGGAGTGTTCTGGGTAGACCTGCAGGGTTCAGTGGGCACCTCTAAGGGGGCAATGGTTGCTGACTTTATGGGGGACACCAGGGAGGCATCTTGGAGGAAGTGATTTGTCTGAGACCTGAAAGATGAGCATGGTTAGCCGGGGGAAGAGATTTGGAAGAGGAGGGAGAAAAGCGTCCCAGACAGATGCAATAGCATGGGCATGGATCTGTGTGAAGGACTCTGGGGCCTTGGAAGGATTGAGATAGGCGCACTACGGGGGCAGCACAGTGGAAGATGACCACAGCACGGGGCATGGCTGGAGAGTCCCAGGAGTTGGGAGAGACAGAGCCAGGCAGGTCATCTTAAGGACCTCAGACTTTATCCTAAGAACAATGGAGCATCACTGAGCAATTCCGCCCTGTGTTCTAAGCCTGGCTCTGTGACCTTCGGTAACTCACTCTACCTTTTTGGGCTTTAGTCTCCTCACTATAAAAGTGGAACCATAATTGGGGAGACCAACCACTCTGATTTGCCCAGGACTGAAAGGTTCCCAGGATGTGAGAGTTTTGGTGCTAAAACTGGAAATGCCCTGGGGAAACAGGACAGGTTGGTCACTCTGGATTTATAATGGTGTCTGCCCTCTTTAAGGGGCCTTGTGAAAATTAAGAGAAACAATGCCAATGAAGAATTGAAAATTTGTTGGCTCATTTGAGGTGCTTAATGGATTTTCTGTTAGTGGCCACATTGCCTCTGATGCTCTGCTTCTTCCCAGGCCTCAGTTTCCCCATCTATATACTGAGTCTATGACTCAGACCTCACCCACCCTCCATGCCAAGCTGTTATTACACCTAAAGATGGATGGCTACATTAGGTTTATCTTGGGCTTTGTGGTGAGTACTTCACAGGTAGAGTAAGAAGAACATTTTGCTTTTTAAATAAAGTCCACTGCCTTCCAAGGAGGAAGGTTCTGGAACACAGAGGGCTGGCTTTTATGGGGTAGGTGGATTATTTGTTGGGGCTAGGACTCAGGGAGAACTGAATTGTTTAGCTTGTTAGAAGGAGAAGGATGTGGCTCTCCACAGCAATGTGGGAGGGAGGAGGGGAGAGAAGAGAAGAGGAAGAGAGGTGAGCAGAATTGCTGACGTGGGGTGGGGACCATCTGCTCGGAGGTGGACTGTTTCTCCTGCTCTAATCTTCATCAGACTCCGAAATTGTAGGTATGAACAGATTTATTTGTGGGGACCAAACAGAGCAGAGTTCTACTTCCAAGTTGATGGAAAACAGAGAGAGAGCACAGCTGTTCAGACAACCAAGGGGAGAACTGAGGAATTATCATCTTAGGGGTAGCAGAAACCAGGAGAAGGGCTTTGGATTCCAGAATCCATGGTACAGTGGGGGTAGGAGGAGTTGAACTCCCCAATACCTGAGTCTTTCATGCATTTTGTCATAATCTCATAACCACCCTGTGTAGTGTGTGTTCCTAAGCCTGCTTCACCGGGAAGAAAACAGACTTGTCCTTGGTCACACAAGCTGGTGAATAATGGACCTTAGTTGAAACTCTGGAATTTGGCCTTTCTCTGCCAGGTGTATGTAGTAGTTGGATATGAACTCCTGATGCCGACCGAGAAGACCTCAGGTGGACACAGATTCAGCTTTAACTCCTTGGGTGCCACATGGTGGGAAAGCTTTTCCCTTTCCAATTCTTTCAGTGAGAGAGAAAGTCTCACGGCGCCAACTCATCTGTAACACCTCTGTAAGCGTGCTGCCCTTCCTTTCTACCAGAGCGAGGACAGCCTCCAGACATATGATGGTGTTTTGTTTCATTATATTTGTCTTCACAGTGGTCGTCTTAGGACATGTAATTCTGGCTTACCACTAACTCAGGTGATGTAAAGTTTCCTTTTCAAGTTTATCTATTTAAGAAAAAAACTGTGAGCCCATTTAAAGAAAAATAGAAGTGGTAATACTACCGGCAGTGCATGGATGACAGTAACTCCTGTTGGGGTCTGTGAAAAATATGGAAGCCAATGTTTGTCAGCCACCACATTATCAAAACTTAAAAAGTTAGATAATATCGTGTGTTTTTGAAGGTGTAGGGAAATAGGCAGTCTCATGGGCTGTTTAAATTTGTTAGAGAGTTTAAATGTGTTAAAACTTTGTCCAAGTTTAAAATATCATTTGACCCAGCCAGTTCACTTTTGGGAATTGATCTTAACAGATGTATTTGCAAACAAAAGATTGTATAAGGATGTCCATTGTAGCGTTGTTTGTAATAACATAAAAACAAACCAAAACAAAACTTAAATCAAAATAGTTTAAGGGAAGAAACTGAATCCATGCAGGGAAATTCATTAAATTCTGTATGAATGAAGTATTGTTCAGGTATTTGAAATAAAGAGATAAAGTTATATTGCTAAAAGACAATACTTTTAACTCAAAAAGTTAAGGATAGACATATATATGTATGAGTGGTTCCCGTGAAAATACACAGAAGACCGGCAATGGTGCTTCCTTTTGCAGAGTAGAACTGGGAACGGGATGAAGAAGATGATTTTGACTTTCATTTTATGTTCCCTCAATTTTTCCCATGTGAATACACTATTTTTAAAACTTAAAAACCCATAGCATGATAATTATTAGGTAAAATTCTAGCTCTAAACTTATATAGTAATAAACATTTTCATTTCGTCAAAACTCAAATAAATAAAACATGATTTGACAATATCTGAAATGTTCTTTAGACTAAACAAAAGTACAAATGACTCAACAAGTCTGCATTACTTTCTAGACAGGAAAAAAGAAAGATCAGACCCAAAGGCTATAATGCTGACACTTACCATCTGGTGACAGTCTGCTCATCAGACCTGA